CGGGGAGGCTGAGCCGTGAACAAGCCCAGCGTCCTCCTGAACTTCAAGTACTTGCAAGCGGCTGCCGCGATGTTAAAGGGCTCTGGCTGTAAGTTTAGGCCTGCTTCAGGCCCGCAGGTGTCCCTGAGAAAAACACATTTTGTATGTGTTTGTCCCCGCTCCTCTCCCAAGGTAATGAGAAAAGGTAATTCTTTGGTCTGGGCTGCTGCTTGTTTTTAATCTAAATAATTTTAGAAAGTACTGTCTGGGCGATGGTTTTCAAATCCCCGAGTTGCATTGGGAAATGTTTCCTTTGAGCTCAGCCCCGCGGCCGTGGAGAGGAGCACTGCAGTTCATTTCGCCGGGAGCCGGCTCGGGCTCCCGAGGCCGGCGGAGCACAGCGGGGACCGGGGCTGTCGGAAAGGAGACAACCCCGCGGGGACAGAAATGTCGAGTAGGACCAAGCACCGGCCCCGTGACCAGCAGTCACCCAGTTCCCCTCTTCCACGGTCAAGGCAAAATCGGGCTTAACGCCATGCGAGCGACCGGGCTTGATGTTTTCTCAGTATTTGGGTCTATTCGCGTGTTAAAAAAATCAGCTCCCTCCTGTTTGAATGATCGGGGATACCGGCTTGGCAGCGGCACCGGCCGAACCGTGCAAAACGCCGGTGTAAACGGTGACTTGAATCTCAGTTCTTTCTCCCTTTATACATTCCCAGTTTTATATTAAACTACATCGAGATTTGTTTTTCTCAGGGACACTTTGCTGTCTCTGGTACCTAAACGGCACGGGGGTTGCTGCACCCTAACAGGGAATGAAATTTGGCAGTGGATCCCTGACTGTGCCTTGCCAGCCGGCTTGAAATTGATCTTTAGCTGTAGCAAGAAGTAGGCGAGCTGCAAGGGAGGTGAGTTATGCGTGAAGCTGTGAAACGGATGGCGAGAGGAAGCCTGAATGCTGTAGGAGGAAAGTTCAGCCTTCAACACCCCTCTTTATTTTCTTTTTTGTATGTGTTTGTTTTAGGCTCCGCACGAAGAAAGAAGACAGCTGCTCTTGCTTTTCTAGATGGCACATCCTCCATTAAATCTGCCTTAAATCTGGGAGCCGTCGCGTGTGTTTGCCTGCCTTGCTCGGGGAGGTGTTTTCGTGCCTGAAAGCCTCGGCAGAGTGGTTGTGTGGGGGCTACCTCCACGTCCTCATGGCTCGGTAGTGCTTTGATCGTGTGCGACTCTCTCCTACTTGGCGTTTCTCAAAGCGGGGTAGGGAGCGCGGCAAGAGCAGGGGTTGCTTTTCACCCCTGCAAGACCCGCGGGTGCTAGATGCCCCAGTGCCTGCTGCGACTGCAAGGGGATCCCAGATCCCATTGGTGGTGCAGACAAAGAATGAACGACACGGCTTTCGGACAGCTGCGGGGGGGCACCTCTGGGGGACAACTCACATGTGCTGTCCATAAATCTGAGCTTTCCTAGCATTTGCGCGACCTGCAGCCAAGCTAGGCGCTGGCGTGGCAGTCGCACCGCGGGATATTTGAAGGACGTCTCTGCTTTTGTGAAATAAGGACTCGTATTAATTTTTTTCCCCCCGAGTTTCAAAGGTTTTAGTGCGCGGACGGCTGCCGGGTGCAGAGGCTGTGGAGCTGGGTGCGACCCTGACGAGGCGAGCTGCTTTGCAGGGCTGCCAAAGGGCACATGATCCCTCTGCCCGCGGGGCCCCCGCAGCACAGCCGGCATCGCCGAGCCCGGGCTGCAACCCCGCCTGGAAAAGAGAGCCACGTAGCTGTGGAGGGCATGCGATCCTCCACATGCTGAAGGAGGGACGAAGCGGGGAGCGCCGGCTACTGGAGCTAGGGGCGAGGGAAAGGGCCGAGACCGGAGCATCTTTGATCCGACTCCCGAGCTCAGGTGCGCCGTGCTCCCCGTGCCACCATCGCCACCCCCGAGCACGGCCCCTCGCGGCCTCTGGGATTCCTCCTCCTCCCTCCACCCGCGCACAGCCTGGGCTGCGGGCTCGGCCACGGGCTCCTGCAGGCGCCAGGAGCCGCTGGAATCGCTTTCAAATGTAAAACTAACGCGCGTTCCGGCAAGGCGGCGAAAGTCACGTCTGGACAAGCTGTATGTAGGCACATGTGCCTCCGAGAGGCAGGGGAGTCGGGGTAACGCAGCTGCGACTGAAAACCCTGAAAAGGAGCCTGTGTGTGAAGGAAACGTCCTCACATGGAAAGAAAGAAAGAAAAAACAAACAAAAAAAACCCCGCTCTCTATTGCTAATATACTTTTCCTTTAGTATTAGGCTAAATGTCGCCTCGGGGGAAAAACTGTCATTTTTTTAACTTCCACTTAATCTTGTTTAACAAAAAAGGACAGAGATTCCTTTATATCATTAAAAAAATCCACTTGTGCTTAAAGCTTAGCTTCATTCATAGTATCATAGTACTTAGGGTCGAATGGACCTAAACAGAGCATCAGGTCCGACACCCTGCCCGGTGCCGGGATCATATCACCCCAGCCAAATATCTGTCCAGCCTCCTCTTGAAGCCCCCAAGGTGGGAGAGAGCACCACCTCACTTGGGAGCAATGATCTTAGCAATGATTCAGGTGCAATGATCCTTACTGCTCTCTTTCATGCGCATGCTATGATCTTTCTGAACCTTAATGTCTTGCCGCGGGAGCTCTGAATTCAAGTATTACTCACAGCAAGTGTTACCCAGAACCTAGCAGCACACCTGAGTGGTTTGCCTTCCTCTTCCAGAGAGTTTTTATTATTTACTGCTAAGTGCTGGCAATGTGCTTCTTCTGGACAGACAGGCACCTGGCCTAAAAATCTTAGCTAGATGAGAGTTGAAGTAGAGGAGAGGATTCGCTTAATTTTTCCCCCATAAATAATCGGACAAAAAAAATCCCTTGCGTCTTTGGAGGTTCTCGCTTCCCACCCACCTTATTTTAAGCATTGCATATTGTATAGGCTTACCTTTCAAACGATGGCCAGACACTTTCGGGCAGAAGGAGCCCTGCAGTTGAGGTGTACACAACTACCGTGATTTAAGCAGCCAGGTTTGGTCACAGGGATCCAGAAGGGCCTCACGATATCCTGTTCAAAGCGCCTCTGATGTTCTTTAAAATAAGGCGTCTAATGTCAAACGCACGGAAAACCTCTAGGATGAGCCAGGTATCCAGGTTGTAGCCGTATTGCTCTAGAGGAAAAAGCAATCTGGGCTCATGGTAGAGGCCATATCTTGTATTAGACCAGTAAGATTTTTGCCAAAAAAAAAAAAAAAAAAAAATCTTTAATTGCAAGCTTTCGGGCACAAACTTATTCAGGGTGAACCATGGATTTTGGCGTCTTACTGCTTTATGAAAGGTTTCTAGTTGGCCTGAAAACATTTGGGTATGCTGATGAAAAAGTGCTTATAACGATTCAAGGATAAAACGGCTTTGAAGACTAGCATTGCACGTGTGCTTACCTGCGAGGATGTTTAAGTTTGTGAAACGTTTTTGGCACTTAGGCTATTTTTCTCATTGGTAACATCTGCGGCTTATAAACTGGATAGGAAAAAAAAAAAAAAAAAAAGCCGGGGCGAAGTTGTCAGCGGTTATTTCCAAGACAAGAGGCTGGTGTGATGCCATGAGCCTGCTTGTGACTTCTGGCCCTAAGGTCTTGACTCCCATGTGTATGACGTGCTCGTGCCGATAGGAAAAGGTGTCTGCATTTCAGGAAGAAGAAAAAAGAGATGCCAGAGGTCCCAGCGGCGAGGATGTGGCTTCTCAGGCGCCCTCCGTGCTGCTCTTGCAGCTCAGGGCTTTCTGGTGCCTTCCTCACCGGGACAGGGGCAGGGGCAGGGCCCGCGCCTGCCCTCACCGCCTGGGCGCCGCGGGCAGCCGGTCAGGTGCAGACATCGGCATCGCAGGGCCGAGGCTGAGCTCGGGCTGTCTCTGCCGCCGGGGACGTTCAGTCCGGTGCAGGAAGCGAAGTGCGGCTGCTGAACTTATCAGCGGCCGCTGCTTGGTGCGGCGGTGAGATGCTGGGGGCGGCACGGGCAGCCAGCTGCAACGTCCCGGGAGCTGGAGAAGAGCAGCAGGAAGCGCCGTGGTCGTGCAGAAAGGGCTGGAGCATTGCAGGGAGCCACGACACCCGGGCTTGCCCAGCCGGGCTCTGACTCGGCCCCTCCGCTTTAGCGGCCCCGGCAGAGTTGGCCCCCGGGCGGGCACCGCGGTTGCTCTCGACCCCTTTAGGCAGCTTGTCTCTGCACGGGCCTCGCACACCGCTGCCCGGGAACCGGGCGCTCTCCTTCCGCCAAGCAGGCGATAAGCCGGAGCGAGCAGCAGCAAGAGCCGCCCGGAGCCTTTCAGCAGGGCGCGGCGCCCGCCTCCCGGCGGCTCCTGGAAATCCCAGCCGCAGCCCGAGTCTTCGCCTTTCCGAGCTACTTTCATCGGGCTGCCCCACGGCTTCGTTTCTCTCAGGCTCTTTGTTACCGAAGGAGGGCATTAGCTCTGAGCAGCTGATTAAAAGCAGTTTCGCTTCGTTGCACTACCGCTTCGTGCTCTCGGCCCGGCAGTAGATGAATGCGAGTGGCCAGGAACTTGGTGCTACGGCAATAACCGATGGAAATCACTGCTCCTCGGGAAGCCCGAGATGGAAATCTCGCCTCCCTGCACGGGTCTCAGTGGGATTTCCTCCCAAGGCAGGGGATGGACTGCTGTGAGCTTTGTGGGCTGGAGGCTGTCAGGGCTGGCCATCTCAGCCTTCAGTATGTTTCTTTGAGGGGCCCAGGTGTCTTCTGCAGCCTTCCTCTTGCTCTTATGCCCTGGCAATATTAACAGTTACCGATGTTTTGAACTGCCAAGACCAAGGCTTTCTGTTGTGCCCTGTTCTCTTTGCTGCTCCGTCCTTTCCCCCAAATGTCTCAATTCTTTTCATAACTGATGAAACAAGGGTTTAAAAGATTTCCTGTGTTCTTTAAGCAGGGAGGAGAACTGCAGTACAAGGCAAGCTAATAAGCTTTAATGTCAAAATCAAATGAGTGCTTGCCCCTGATTTACAGCAGGCAGATTTGAGAATTGTCTTCCCAACTCCTCAGGTTGCTGATTTCTCTTTTTCTCTTTAGCCTTCACAGCCATCACATGCTTTACAAGAGGACTTGACCTCAGGAAGGAGAGGGAAGATGTCCTCTGCCCAGCAAATTGTCCCCTATGGCAGTTCCATGTCTATGGAAATGGTGTTTATGCCTCCCTTTCTAGCATCTGTGGAGCGGCCATTCACAGGTAAGACAGATGACTAGAAAATATTTCTTGAAAAACTTGTTCTTCCACAGGTGCTAAAGCCTAGATCCTACCAAACTGTGGGTTGGTAGGAGAAGGAACCTCCTACTTACTTTAGAAGAACAAAATATAATTGAATAGGAAATTCCACACTTGCAGTCTAAGGGCCAGTCCTGTCAACATTTACTACTGAGAGTAGCATCAAGTACAGTGACATTTCATTGACTACACTGGGACCATTCCAGTGAAAGCACTGGTCTGAGTAGTAATGATTCTCACAGACCAGAACTAGTGGGATGGACATGAGACTTGGTCTCTTCCCACCCATCCCCATCTTAATAAACATTTTCTCCTCGTGTAAGCCTACAATCATTGCAAAAAATGAATTATGAGCACATCTACGTTTGTCTTCCTCTGTAGAAAAATGCCATGCATCTACTCCAGTTAAGCAATAGGAGTCAGGTGTTTTGCATCTGGTTTTCAAGGTCTAGAGCTATGCTGCTAGCAACGGATGAGTCCATTACTAAAGCAGTTTTCTGTGTTTCAAATTTGAGGTTCTCTATATTGTATAAAGGTTTGCATAGGCACAACTAAACATGTTTGTGATTGTTTTTGCTGACCAGTTTGCTTCCTTAAGGCTGCACATCTCCATCTATAAATTCCATGCATGTAAACACTCCTCACTCTATCATCTCATTAGGCATGCTACATAAATGCATTAGCAACATCAGCATCAGGAGAACAGCTCCCTTTAAAAAGAAGGGAGAGAATAACCCTCTAAAAATCTACATGCAATTAAAACAAACAATTTTTGTTTATTCTTTTAATGTGAAAGCTTCTGTATTGATAAAATCTGAACATGGGGAAGGTCTGGATGGGAAATTTACTCTCCAAACCAAGGTTGGGCAATGGTCCAGATGCTATCCTCCACCATATACTGAACACTTCTTGAAGTACTAATTTTCAGTCATTTGTGTGCACCGTAGAACTATTGTAAGAGCAATCACTCGAACCACGTAGCTCTTGAAGGATTGTTTGTCAAATACCTAACGTTGCAGATAAAAATTTTAAAAGGTAATAAAAAGAGCACGCTATAGAGACTTTTGATGCTAGCTATTAAAAGAAAGCACTTCACAAACCAAAGAAAATTAATTTTCCTCTGAAGAGTTCTTTACCTGAATTAGGAGTAGGCCCAGTTGATTGAGTTCAGATCAAATTTGAGTATTTATCTCCAATTCAAAGCTTAATTCTCCAGTGTTGCTCATGCCAAGTAGTGCTGACTCCTGCAAGTAGTCCCCTTTACTTCAGTGAATAAATACTATATGGCCCATTTAAGAGCGGCAGAAATTAGATCCAGATAATTCAATTGCAGCTTATGTAAGTTTCTGTGAAAGTTTTGGTATGCTATATTAAAAAGCTTTCTTTCCTTTTGCTATGCCAAATTATTGGCAGGATATCTTTTCCGAGGAGAAAAAAGAAAGGGGTTATATCTACCACGAGGGGAGTTAAAAAAGAATTTTCCTACAAAGATCATACCTGGCAGAAGGAACTGAAGTATAACTACTGAGCCGTAACTGATCCTTCAAAGTTCCTGAGCTGGTGCAATATTGAATTACACAACACAATATTGAAATGCACAAGTTGAAGATCTGACCCAATAGTTACTTGTTCAACTGTTACATGTTAAACATTTCTTAGCTTCTAAAGCAGGGGTGGGCAATTATTTTGGGCAGAGGGCTGCTTAATGAGTTTTGGCAAGCCATCAAGGGCTGTATGACAGGCAGCCAGGGGCAGATCAATATTAATTTTCTAAATTTTTTAGGGGTCCTGCCGGCCGGATAGATTGGCCTGGTGGGCCGCATCCGGCCCATAGGCCGCATTTTGCCCACCCCTGTTCTAAAGTCTAGTCAGAGGTCAGATGTTGAGTCTGACCTACAACTTCCTCAATTCTTATGTCACAAAAAAGTAACAGTTCTACTACATTGGCTATAAATTATCTATAGGACAGCTTACTTGCAAGGAATGTACAGATTTTCTGAGTTGCTTTGGCTATCACTAAGGGACCATTGCCAGAGACTTTGTCTGGCCAGAATGACTGGCCTTCTAGCAGAGTTAGTCAATTGGGAAGCTTTGGTTCATTGCCCGCTGCTGTCAGGCCAAATGTAGCAGGGGGGCAATGGAGGCAAAGAAAGTAGAACTTGGAGGGTAGGGAGAAGCTAGCAAGGAACCCAGCTCAGCTCAGGGCCAAAGACACCTGTGCAGATGACCACAGCAAGGCAGACCAGCAGCATGAAGATACAGCTGGGAGGAGTGCTGCTTCAGGGGAGGGAATAAGTAGATAGACTTTATGGAGTAACTGGAAACTAGGTCCCATCTTTTGGTCCCTATGCTCTAAATTCGCTCACTCAGCTGTCATCCATGACTTCAGGCTCTCAGGAACAAGTATCTTTGTCCAGGAGGTTCTACCAGAAATGCAAACTGCAATTACATGCTTAAAAATACATCTCTGAGTGAGGGGCATGTCTCTTATTGTCCAGCCCCAATTCCCTCGCAGATGTGGAAGGAAAATCTTGATTCTGTTTTCTCTCCCTGTATAACACATGTAGACTTCCTACAGACATATACAGGCATCATGTCTTATTAGCATAAAGACATGGCATGTGGGTCTGTGAGAAGTTTGCTTTTAGGCTGCAGGATTAAGTCAAAGTACATGGGGTTTTTTAAAAGTCTACATTACCAGCTCTGCTTTCCTCAATTTCTGTCTTTCCTCGCTATGGAACACTGTCCCTGGAGTTAAAGACTAATGTCTTCTTCTCTTCATGTTGACATGTTTTTTTCCCCTGTATTTTCATAGTAACATTAGTTCTGTCAATTGCATGGACAGCATTTTGGCATCGTTTTGTAATCCTTAAGCAGTTTCATCAGTCTGATTATGTTACTTTGACAGCAGTTAAGAGAACAGCCACTTGGCACCAACTCATAACATTTTCAAAAATAACTTGTGTGCATGCTAAGGGATCTGACGTGACTTTCATGGATCCCAAAGCACAAGAAAGTTTAACCAAAGTTTTGAGGCAAAATTGTTTTTGCCTTTTTTCAACCAGAGACAGTATTTTCATTTCCTACTGCTGTATTTTTCTTGCTGCTCCAGCAAGTGTTAATAGGATGGTTTAGTTTGAAACAATATTTAAAAAGCTAACTAATTCTCCCTCCCATATAAGTGTAGAATTGCTTTCCCCCAGCTGGAAGAATCTTAGTCATCTAAGTATCAGGTTTAACCTTAGATTCCTCCTTGGAAAAAAGACATTAAGAGTCTGATAGCATCAAGTTAGCCCTTCATCACTTCTAGGCTAAGTACAGACATTTGGGGGTAGTAGGGGGAGGTTAAATCAATTCAAAATGGCTGCCCAATAACAGGCAAGTCAGAATGGGAGGGTTAGCTGGGGAGTTGGGGATCCAGCAGGCTGGGAGGGATCAGGAGTCTGCCAGAGGTGGGGTGGCAGGTGTGACCCACGAAGAGCAAGGGGAGCAGGCATGACCTGCAGGTATGATGCGGGGACAGGCAAAACCCATGAGGGGCATGGGGAGCAAGCATGGCCTGTGGGTGGGGTGGGGTGGGGTCCTCCCCAGCAAACCTACAGCCCCATCCCTCCCACACCTCTCCCCACCAAGACTTTCTTGCTGAACTCCAGCAGCAGTGAACACTGATAAAAGCGGCTGCACCTGGAGCGGCTTGTGGATGGGGGCTGAGAGGGCTGGCTAGAGGGGAGACAAGGGGCCGGGGGGGCAAAAAATAGACCAGTGTGGGGAAAGGGGGGAATGAAAAGAGCAGCCCTGGGGCTGCACAGGGGAAGTGAACAGAAGTTCCATGTGGCAGTTTGACCTAAATCAAATGAGTCTGCAACTATATAGATCCAGGTTTTATCATGAAACGGTTCTGCGATTTTTAGACCAGTTTGTGTACATGGGACTTCTGTTCGGTTACAGGTTTAGACTGAGTGCCAGTCGCTGAGAAGGGGTCTGTAAGTGTAAGGTCAGCAACAGGACAAGACAAGTTTACATTGGGCAGGCATTTTGAACCCAATTTAACATCCTGAATGTCTGTACTTAGCCCTTTTAGTGGTATGATAGGCAAATTGATTTTCATGCCATTTATCTGAGGAGGAGATGAGTCTTTAAAACTCTAGTTCTGTTTGCCCAAAGGGGTTCAAGAGGCTTTGGAAAAGACCCAATTGAGAGACTTCCATTAGTTTTGCAGAGGGTACTCCTTGTGAGAACAGAGAAGTGGTTTTTGCTGTCCTTAGCCAATATTCCCCTCTTCTGCATACTATGGGGCAACAAGATGGGCCTCTTTGCATTTATTTAACTGGCAAGTGTTTTGGAATGAGAGGCACTGTGCAGATTAAACTGTACTTATTAGTAGGAGTGCAGCTGAACAAAGGAAATGGGTGAATATCTGTGGGGCATTGCTGTCAGGCAACTAGGGTCAGCAGCAAGAAACGTGGTAAAATGAAATGAAAGGGGTTCCTGGAAAATATATGAAGTTCCACTGTTACCAAAACAGCCCTTGGCATATAAGATTGGCACAGGAGTAAAGCACAGTAATTTTGTGAAAACAAGTCATTTTTAATGACAGAAACTCTATTCTTTTCTCTAGGAAAGCCATTTTTCACTGCTAAGGTCTGACACAGGCCTTCATGCAGCATGAATTTCATTATCATGAAAACAAAATTCCGAATTCATTAATAGAAAAACAGAATGATGGAAAATGTGGCTATTTTACTTAAGCACATATTATCATTGATTCAAAAATATTGGAAGTAATAACCTAGGTAAAACTAATAAAAAGAGGTAGAAGATAATTTAATAACATCATTTTAATTACATTGATTAATAAAGTATCAAGGGTGTGGGGAGAACAGTAATGATTTTATTTTCCTGATAAGCTTCTCTCTTAAAAAAAAAAATCAGTTAAAAAATGCAAATTCCCAACTTTCAGTTAATAGCAAGGAGTGTTAAAAATATCTGCAAAGAACATATACTCAAATAGATACCAATTTGGTTTATATAACATGTAAAAATATAATTAATTTTAAAAGTGTCTAAGCTAATAGGGTTTTTCTTGAATAAACAAACAGGATAAATCTCTGCTATTCTGTTTTCAGAGAAGTGATCTTCCAGTTTCAACAAAAATGAGCTTCTTTGTAAATGATTCCATGCCAATCAAAATGGAAAGTCTGTACAAAGTAGACAAGACTGGTCATCTTGTGACTAAAATAAACAAAGCATTGTCAGGAAAATTTATGATGTTGAGCCTCCAGTATGAAATGTTGAAGTGAACTGGCTGATGTTGTACAAATAAGACATTCAAACAAAGGAAATGAAAAGGAATACTAAGCCTTTGCCATGAGCTCAGTGTCTATATCAATAACACCAGTACAAACCCAAATAATTTCACCGAGATTAGAAACCAACTCTAAAATTTAACATTTGATGCAACATTTGCTGCTTCAATTTTACTTTTTGTACTAGCTACATTCTGCCATCACTAGGGCTTGAAACTTTCTGGTAATAGTTTTGACTACAGCAAACAACAAGGCAACACAATGAACAGGAGGAGAGCACCCACCCATGTTAAGTCTGGTATGTTTTTAAATAGGCTCATTTGTTATTTCCTCCAAGTTAAATCAGAACTTCTTCTTGAATCAGCAGTTTTGGTTAAAACAGGAAATCACTAGTCTGTGCCTTTCTCTTTTATTAAAGAAAACTGTAGTGCTCTAAAGTCCTATTCCTTTTGTCAACTTTAAGTTATATTCTCTTCTCCAGTAAACCTGTGTAAATCCAAAATAATTCTACTACAGGCCCCCTATCTACTTCTATTGCATATGTATGCAAGTGTCATTTTCCACATTATTTTATTTAGGAATGTCATTTTTTTAATTTCCTTATTTAATTTTGAAATGTCATATATGGAAGCAGTGGTAGAAACATCACTTAATATGTATTGAAGAACTACACTACTGCGATATATAGATGCAGATATTAGCTATGTTAGAAAATCTGTTGTAATGGGCTTGGACAGTTAGGTAGATTTTTTTTTCTCTCTACACAAGAGCTCAATTGGTCAACATTTGTGCTGGGGCAGCGTGAGGTGCAGACCCAGGGGGAGTGTAGGACTGTGGTCACAACTCTTTGCCTGTGCACCACATCCACAGTGCTTAAACTGTTGGAAACTCCACTTACAAGTGAAATAGCATAGGTGGGAAACATCTTTAACAACCATTCAAAAAGTACTTAAAAATAAAATAAAAAATCTCTTTTGCTTCCTACTAACACAAGAAGTTCCAGCCTAATGTAATTTAAAAGGGTACAGGGTGTAAAATCATATAGACCCTACTGTGGAATATTGCACTTAATTGTGCAAATAAGTTTTAAAAATAAATCATTCTGCCCATGGGCAGATCCAGGAGAGGAGTGAGATGGATGGTGAGCCATTACTTATTAACACTCTTCAATAACACCACACCAACACCATCATGAGTACTTAGTTAATTTCTTTTGTCCCACAACATTTTTATGCGCATAGAAGTTCTTGGCCTCTTTCCCCATTCCAACTGAAATTACTTGCTTCCAATCTTGTAAGATTTTCTGTTTTTTAACCGCACATGTAAAAATTTTATTTCAGAAATGGGTTGTTGTGCCATTTTAACTTGTTTCTATTTCTGTAACTCTGGGCATGTTTACATGTGCAATTAATGGGCATTTACAGACATGCTCTGGGAGGTAGGGTTGAGGGGACGCTTTAATTAAAAGTGCCCAGAGCATCATGTGCATCAGTGTTCCCGCAATGAAAAATGGTGGCGGGGTGCTTTGAACTAAAGCTGATTCGATGAGCTTATGGCATCCAGCTCAGGCATGGCATCCAGCTGCAGTTTCATAAGCAGATCAGATAATCAGCTGTGACCCCTGCCTTTCTTCCCTCTTACTTAATTAATAGAGTCTGCTCCAACACGCTGTAATTACAGTGGATCGGAGCAGCCTCCCTGCACATGAATAGGAGCCCAATGTGACCGGATACACTGTGGCTCAAAATGAGCCAGAGTAAACTAATTCCAGTGCCACCATCTACACATATATTTAAGCACCATAATTAACTACACTGCCAGATACCATTGTTTCTGAGGGACTATCTGGCAGCACAGTAAATTAGTCTACTGGAACCCCAATTGCTACACACGTATAGACAATGCAGCAAATTAATCTACTGTACAGTAAAGCTTTTCATGTAGATGTGCCCTCCCTGTATTAATTGCTTATAACTGCTCTTAAAAACTTCCCCTACTTTTCAAACTTGAAGTAATAAAAAAAAACATTTAAACCCAAAACTTTCATATTACCTTTTCCAAGGACGAGATTACTCTGTATTCATCTGAACCTTCAAAATGTCCTTGTGTAATAAAATAATTAGCTGCAATTAAAATGTCTGTCTTGTAGTAATATCATTTTCTTTTATCCTAGTGGGGTGATCACCACATCAGGAGGACCTGTAAGAGTACAGAGCCTGCCTGGGGAGGAAAATTATCCTGCTGTGTATGCCAAGGGGATCCAGTCTCAGGCACTCACTAGATGGGCTTCATCTTTCTCATTGTCCAGTAGGTGGATTGCATTTATTATTCTGTAAAACCTATTTGAAATGTTAACCAAAATCGTAATGGCCTTCAATCCCATGTCCACATAATCAAACTAAAGGCCCATGGGAATAAGAGTAGTTGATTTTCTCTCTCTTTTTTTTTTAATTGTGTGAGAAAAGTGGAGGATAAAACAAATCACTTCAACGCACTATTCTAGTTGGCCTATTCAATCTGGAGCTTCAGCTGAATTGATACAAAAAAGCAGACCTTACCCTTTGACCAGTCCACTACTCTTTCAGGTATTAAGGACTCAACAACATTCATCCTAGGGAAATGTGCTAATAAGCAGTCCTGACAAAGGCCTCTAGGAAAATTTATCTCCTTATTTTGTAAGAAACCAAATTGGTAGCTCCTAATACTGCACTGTGTTTTTTCATTTAAGGCCTTGTCTTGTTGGGTGCTCAACTCCCATAGGACTGAGCACCTTGCAGGATTAGTTCCTTAGTTAGCTGCAAAGTGATTAGGTGCCTCCTTTGGATCTCTACAGGTCACATATCTGTATAGAAACTTCTGTAAATGTTTGTAAAATAAGTGAAAAATATGTTGGGTAGCCCCTCAGCAACATTTTGGCAAAACATTATTGTCTTGTTTTCAAAGAATGTTCCAACAGAAGAAGGCATATTTGGTTTCTGGACTGGTTATTTTTACAGGAAGAGAAAGCCTCGTTATTGTTTACATAATTTATTTTCTATTAATTAGCTCATATTTGCACCTGGTATCCATTACTGACTAAAAGGTTTGAAAAATGCTGAGAATCTTCCAGTTCAAATTCCTTACTGGGAGTCAGAGGTTCCTAATACCTCTCAGGATCAGGCCATGAATTATAACTGCATATTTGTCTTAGCTCACAGGCTGGTATTCAATTAATCATAAATTGTATATATTTCAGAGTTGAAGGCATGTGGCAGAAAACTTGATTACTTTTTCAACACTGACGTAATTTAAATGCAGTCAGGTCCAACACACTTATCTTTTCAACATTATAGGGGTAAAGAGTGTAGCCCTTGCAGCTGCTGGACAACCAGTATCAACAGCGCGTCCCTCCACAGGTATGAAATATTTGTGTAACAGGATGTCTAATGGACATCTTCCAAAAGCATGAGGAAAGCACCATGATTTATGAATAGTGGACTGAAAGGCTGAGGCTCATAGGTTATGCTTATCTTTTTAATGAAGTAATGTATACGCTGTTTTCTTTATCTAAAAGTATATGGTTTACATGCAATATCAGGAAACACTTGTAATCTGTAGGGCTGATTCTGATCTCCGTTATGTTAATCTAAATTAACACCAACTAGAGTGAATTCAATTTTATACAGGTATTTTGAGAACAGATTTATAGTTAAAGAAAACAGTTCTATGCTCAGGTTGCTCATTTCCATTAAGTAATAAGGATGATAGTGAAGAAAATACTTTCCTTTTAACAGAGAGAATTTGAAAGATAGTCTGTCAGTTCAATTATTGCACTATTCAGCTGCTTGAGCCACTCCACTCAGTCTTCAGTTCAAACATCACGGGCCAATTCCTGCTTGCGTCCTTCAGAATTACTGCTTTCACACCGCCTTCTTGGGGCTCTGTCCTCCTCCTTTCACAACTATCTCTTTTGTCTCAGCTTTTAGTGAAGCTTCTATCTAGCAAAACTTTACCTCACTGGTAGCAATGCAGCTTTGAACCACATTTACTCTGTCAGAGAAATCAATTACACTGGTTTAAAATGCTTTGTTCTTGACAGATCTAAGTTGGCTGCTGCCTCTACCTGTTTTGTCATCTGGAGACCAGATTCTATTCCACCCTGGACTTGGGTATCCAAGTGCAATTCTATTCCAGCCTTCTCAAGGATTTGCAAAACAGTTAACAGAAATGGTAGTTCCTCCTTCTCCTTGCTGCTTTTTTTTGTGATTCACTCTTAAGGGTCAGATGATGGTGTATTACAAAAGTAGATTCAATATGGATTTTTAGGCACGTGAACAGGGTGGAATTAAATCTCACAGGCATCCAAATCCAGTTAGAGGCCCAATAGATGGAATAGAATCTGGTCCTAGGTGCTTGTAAATTGACTGTTTAGTATTTTGTTCTAGCATCTTTCCAGGTATTGTCTTTAGACTGAGTGATGACCTGTGGTCCTACTCTTCTTCCTCTTTAAAAATGGATACAACTTCTTTCTTTTTACTCCTTGCCCTCCAGGAGCAGCAATTTTCACCAATTTTTCTGTTTGTCCTGCAGTGAAATGCTGTTACTTCATGTTGTCATAACTTGACTTCTATATCCACAGTGGACATTCTTTGCTATAGACAATTTAAAGCAAAAATGGTACCCCCCTTTTTGCTCTTTCATTGTAAGTTGTGTGTGCTAAGAAAATAGGGTCCAATTGCAGTTAGTCCCCTACCTTCTTCCTCTATTTATACCTATCTCAGGCTCTCTCTATTTATATCCTCCTCTATTTACACCTTTCTTAATATTTTTTTAAATTTAGTTTATCATCATTTCTGTTGCTTCCTGTGAAAGATTCTTCTACATATTACTCTTTGTGTAAAGACCTTTTATTAAGTTCCTTTACAGTGAGATTGCCACAGCCCTCACATAGTTATCCAAAAAATATTATGGCTCTGGTTCTGGAGAGGAGGCTGCATTACTCACTTGCTACTCCCCAGTAGAAATAGTCTTCGCTCCAGAGTCTGTACACTAACCAAATAACTGGCTAGTTGTAGAGAGGGAACGTCAGCTACTTCATGAAAAAAGGTAGAGAAATGAACTCATTTCCTATAGTAAGAGGGAAGAAAGGCAGGGGTCACAGATGATTATCTGATCTGCTCATGAAACTGTGCAGCTGGATGCCATGCCTTAATCTGGACAGATTGCAAAATTAAAATATAACCCATACCACCTTCTTGCATTCTTTTAGCTTCAAGGCATGCCATCTTGCTATTCCATTTGTAGGTCCCTAATAATTTGTGCTGCTTCCTACATTTTAGGAAAACGACCTAAGAAACCCCTTGAGAAAAAGACTGGGAACAAAGGTAGGAATCCACATAATTAATTTGTGCGAAGCAAAATGCTAATGTTTATTTGACTTTATCTTAATCTAATTATCCTGGGTGTTCACAGACTGTAAAGCAGATATTGCTTTTCTGATTGATGGAAGCTTCAATATTGGGCAGCGTAGATTTAATTTGCAGAAGAACCTTGTTGGGAAAATATCTGTGATGCTGGGAATTGGAGCTGAAGGACCACATGTGGGAGTTATACAAGCCAGGTACCTAATTTATTTTAAGGAATATTTACAAACTGGGTGATTAATAATTAGAAACTGAAGAATATGAAAAACGATCAGCAGTAGCTTTCTTCTCAGAAATATGAAAAGCTGAGAGACATCCAACTAAAATCACTTAATTATAGGAAACTAAATAGCTTATAAGAAGAAGTTCCTAAGGCAAAATATCTTATTAATAGAATAGACTGTTGAACAAGGTATTCCTAAGGCAAAATATCTTATTAATAGAATAAAGTGTTGAACAAGGTCCCTCCCATCCACTGGTAATTCAGTAGCATCCCTGTAATAATAGGAACAATACTGAAGAATGTATTTAGCATTTTTCATCTGAGTTAACAACTAGAAAAAGGAATCAAGCCAGCAATGTTGACTGGCCCTATATCTGCATAACACAGCGAGTGGCCTGTGGACCACTTTTGGTCTGTAGACCACACATCAAAGTGACAAAACCTTTTATTTCTAAACCTCCAGATTATATACAACATGGATAATGACAGTTATAACCCCTTATAGTAGTGTTTTCATATCTATGAAGAAAGTTATCTCAGTCCAGTCCTAAATAGATAAGTATCCCATATACAAAAAGACAACTGTGGGAATATGTGATTAAAGTTTGACCTGATACTGGCTGTGCTATAGAGAATAAGATTTGGGTGTCCATGCTTTCAATCCAGGTTGATTCAGTCATATAATTCACTTTAGAATGAAAGAGAGGAAAAAGAACTCAGCAGCTGGGTCTGGGAACTCATATTCTCTCCAAATTTTTTTTAAGCAATACCATGAATTTTAATACAATACAAAAATAAAGCATCTTTGTCAAGCTACAGGTTCCAGTATGTCTAAGGATGGATTTAAAAACCACAAATCAACTCCTTGTAATCTTCCAAAAGACACCAGCTAAATCCATTTAAATAGCAATGCAGCTTCCAGCACAGTAGTGAAATCTTTTCTTAAACTTCACAGAACTACGTTTAGTTCTGTGACGATCATGATCCAAGTACTGTAGACCTGTTGTTGTGTGGTAGTAGCTTTCCAGAATGTAACAACTTTGGTATATTCGTCTGGGATATAAGTAGTAACATTTCTGCTTTTGTCTAAAAAATGGTTCTCACCTGGGGTAGTCTAGCACCCCTTCAGGAGTGCTGTTGCAGGCACCACCATCACCACTGCCAGTGCAGACAGTCCTGTGTGCAGGGCTGGGGCACATGGACATGCTCCTGCATTAGGGTTGTGCAGGGGCACCCTGACTTGAAAAAGGTTGAAAACCACTGATCTCAAATTAAAACATCTGTTGGATTAACAAGTGATTTCCCAGACACATTTCTCATCAAGAAAGCACTCTTTAAAATATGGCTCTAGTTTTTCTGTAGTAAAAAATGAGTGAGAGTTAAGATCATTTTCCAAGAGGTGCCTCAAGTCTAATGAGGTTGAAAACCATTGGTCTAACCTATTCTTAAAACTATACAAACAACCTTGTCACACAACCACCAGGCATACTGCCCCAAAATACCAAGAACACCATAAGTATTACCCTAACGCGTGGAGCAAGGGAACAAGGGCATTATCACCATCCTGCCGCTGCAAGGATGCAATTTGTTAAAATATACCTGAATCAGAATAACTCTTTGAATTGAAACACAGACAGTGCTCTATACAGGGTATAAAAGACATCAAAAAATTATCACAGAGACCCCCTCCCATACACCTACCTGTATCAAGAGCAACTCTAGTGGAATCAAAAGACTTATTTGATTATAAACCTGGGATGAGGGGAGAATCATTCCCAGAAAACAAGAATTATCAAATAAGCATTTGTTGTTTTGGGATTATAGGGTGTTGTAGCACGTTGGGGTCCCAAGGGTGGCTGTGATGCCCCCTGGTGGCTCTGTGACTATGCCCTGCTCTGCCCCTAGGGTGCCTTCCCTTCTTGCCCACCACACCTTGATGAAATACTAGTAATAATAATAGGGAGGCTGCCCACAGGCTTTCACGTGGCTCCAGTCCAACTGGTCCCTTGCTGGGTTACTCTCATCTCAGGCCCCTTACTGGGCTGCTCAGGTTGATGGGGCCCTGCATGGCACCCAAAGCTTTAGGGGCTAATTACATGACTCTAATCTTCCCCTACACCATGCCCCAAGCCTCATGGGTGTTACACTATCATTGTTCTCCTGTTGGGGCTTCAGCCTTGTCAGCCTTTGCTTTTTTACTCTCGGCTAGGCCTTCTAGGCATCAGTGGGACCTCCATATACACCCCTTATATTCCCAACCTAAACCACCAGTATAATGGTAACATAACATAAGCCCCTGGGCTATAACATAAACAGCAACACTGGAAGCAGCTCCCTGCCCTTTTAAGGGGGCAAACCTTCCTTCACCCCTTGTGCTGGCATACCTCTCAGCCTGGGCTCCTTGTGAGCACCCCGAGCCTCACTGTTCCTGCAGGCAGCAAAGTCTAGCATCCCTGGGTAGCTCTCCTGGACAGGAGCTCCTCACCTAGTCACTGGCAGGTCTAGACCAGCTTGCTAGCCCAAGCATTAGGCTTATATGCTCCTAGGGCCCTGCCCGCTTCTGGTCAGTGGGCTGCCTGCAAGTGCCTGCTAATCGCCTCATTTGCCTGGGCAACCGGCAGCTACTCTACCCTGCCTAGCTGGCAACTGTCCCTTGCTGAGCTGCTTTTATCTTAAAGGAACAGGGAGCCCCAGGCTGTCTGTTACAGGAGTTTCTAGACGTGCTCCAGGAGGGGGGGATGTTTTAATAAGAGTGGCGCTGAGAGCTGCTCTAATTAAAGGACCTGGAGAGTCATGTATCAGCTGAAGGACCACATGTGGGAGTATTAGCATCCCCTCACTGAAAAATGGTAGCAGGGGTATTTTAACTAAAGCTTGTCAAACAAGCTTTAGTCAAAGTGCCCCCCACTGCCATTTTTCAGCATGGGGACACTGACACACATGATACTGGAGTCTGTGGGAGTGTGGTAACTACCACGCTGTAATTACAGTGCGTTGGAGCAGCCTCACTCTATGTATATAGGCACCCATATACTTCAACATACTGACTAGAACAAGTGAAGGCATTTGCAGTCTTGAAGAATCAGGCTATTACTGGAAATGCAAAATGCACCCCATGGTGTTTCTTGTAACTTAAAAAATAGTTTTAGACCCTCATCTTGTATTAGGATCCTCTAGGGCAAGCTGATCCCATTCTTCAGCTATAGGGATCCATTCTAGTAGACATGATGCTGAATCAAGCTCTTGAATTAATAAAAGTAGTTCTTTTGAATTGGAAATGGTATCACCTAATTCTTACAATTGATATCATATAAGTAGTTTAAGCTTTATTCAGTCTATTGTTCACCCTAAACTGGGAGTAATTCATTAGGGTACAGAGATTTAATTTTAAATGGTCATGTTCATAGTGATATATTCATGTTTACAGTGATATAAGTAAAAATAAAATTTGTTCCCATCTAAGTATATAAAATGAAACTAAACACATTTTAAATTAAACAACCAAAACAAAATTCCACTCCTTTACTTAATGGTCCTTACTTACCCTTGCTCTAAATTTGATTTGCTGTGCTATGTTTAAAATAGTCACCAACACTGCAAAAATGATAGTCTCAAATCTTTTATTATAGTAATGGTTAATAACTTTATTAACTGTTACTGGAAAAATGGATTTCTAGATTCAGAATGAAAACAACAACCAGTTCATTTTATTATTAGTCGTGCCTGGCTTTGTTCTGTTGTTTTTTTTAACTGGTGTTTTTATTTTTCATGTAGTGAACATCCAAAAATTGAATTTTATTTGAAAAACTTTACTACTGCAAAAGATGTTTTGTTTGCCATAAAGGAAATAGGGTTCAGAGGAGGCAATTCTAATACAGGTGAGTACAAGCCCTGATCAAAGGAGAAATTACGTGCTTTTAGACCTGCTACAAAGCAATAATCTAATTATTTTACACTAATACTTACAGTGAGAACAAACTGTATCCGAACATTGTTCTGAGTGTCACTTGAAATACCACGTTAAAATGCTGACCATCAAAAATTTAGTTTTTAGAAGTTATTTTAATATGTTACCTCAAAATACAACTGAAATAGTCATTTCCAACCTTTAAATGGTAACTGAATTCTTCACTTCTAACAGCTTTGTTTCTTGAAACAAATTCATATCCTATAGGATTATAATTTCATTGTCGTAGAACAGATTACAGATTGGTTGAAGTAATCAAGAGCAGAATTTATCTCTCAATATCCATTGGAAAACATTACATTTTACAATGATCTCAGTCCTCTCCAGTTAAAAGCAAATATCATGCAGTATGATAGAAATACAGCTAATCTGGTTTATTATTTGAAGAAATGAAGACTGCTTACATTTTGTGTTTTCCCACGCAATATAGTGTGGAAAAAGCAACTCAACATAGCTCAAAAAATGTTTTAATTTATAATCCCAACAGTACCGTCGTAAGAGTTCTGCCAGTGGAAAACTGAAATTACATACAAACATCCTTTTTACCAAATGTTCTTACTTTCTCTGTATGTGGGTGACTTTTTCAGGCTGTGATGCTCCCATCTAGGTACTTTTAGTAAAAAAAATCGTTTCCTTTCTGCCTGCTATGAAAAGGTGAAATCAGACTTATTAAATTAATGTAGAAACTTAAAATCCCAGTTCCAAAATAACTTTTCTGGTTTTCTTCCTTCTCTTCAAAATTAGGAAAAGCCTTGAAGTTTACAGCTCAAAGATTCTTCTCTATGGACAATGGAGCACGCAAAGGGATTCCTAAGATCATAATAGTTTTCTTGGATGGCTGGCCCTCAGATGATTTAGAAGAAGCCGGTATAGTGGCCAGAGAATTTGGTATCAATGTATTCATTGTGTCTGTAGCAAAACCCACACCTGAAGAGCTGGGAATGGTTCAAGATATTGGCTTTGTTGACAAAGTAAGCAACATATTATTTATATTATTTAGTTTCCAATTATAGGTGTTACATATTCCAAATGACAAAATATACTGAATTCCACATGAAGGCACCCAGGTTTCTGCCACTGGACTTGTTCAAAACCAGCTAAAAGCTGACACAGCCCCACAGCTCAGAACCTAGCTCTGGCCAACCCCAGAGGCCATTGAATGGGATTCTCAAAATTAGAGTTCTCCACCTACTGCAGCAGCCTAGCCCCATCCCTCTAAGCATCTCTGTACCACCTGTTAGCAGGTATTTGTCTTCCCATTACTAAATTATATAGTGGTTATAACACTTAACTAAGATCTGGAAGACCCATGTTCAAGTGTCTAATGAATAGTTAATTTATATAAAGAGTGAAATAGCTCCACCAGGACAGAGGGAGAAAGACCCAGCCTGAAAAATCCAAGAGCGTGCTGGGCAGGGCATTCTCTGGAAATGTAGGTTTTAACTTCTGGCTATCTTAGGATGTGCCGGGCACAGCTGGTTTCCTTAAGGTTCCAGCTCTGTTCAGACATTATATAGGGAGCCTGGGCCCATAACTTAGGGCTGAGTCAGCTACCATCAGAAGCCACGTCCAGACGAGCACGGCTGTGCGGTATGTGGTGCTGCAGACACATCCAGGAGAGAGGCACTGTATTATTAAGGAAGTGGTCCTAGATTTCTACTAGACTGATGACTAAATACCAGGAATTAGACATCTGACTGTGTGTTGTATCCGCAATTCATGGTCCATACAGGACGGTGTTGTAAAATTAGAAGCTGTCACCAAAAACTATACATTTACATTTTAAAGCTAAAATAGAACTCTCAATGCTTTAGATTAATTAGCCCTTTCATTTAATATTTGAATAATGCAGTTAGAAATTCCAGCTTTTATCCTTTACATTTATGTGAATATTGCAAAAATACCTACCTTAGAACCCATAGGAACAATGGGGCAGGGTTGGAATTTGACATGAAAGGTATGTCTATACTTAGTTCCACCGCCAGATCCACAACTTCAGCCCAAATTTGCCAGACAGCCTTATCACAAACCTCTTAGCTCAGACTATGCTGCCCCCAATCTTCCCCTGGTCTGGCTCTACCTTGCAGTGTTTTCAATAATTACTAGAGCACCGTGAATCTATCCTTAAAGCTTAATTTTGGGTGAGGAGGAGTGCACAGGTTCAGTCAACTCCAGCTGGGTTTCTTGATACACCTCTTTTCTGAAAAATATCAGAGTCCAAATACTTGCCATGCTTTGAAATAAAACATTTACATATGTTTTTTGATAGTGCATTCACCAGAAGGCTCTTTTTTGTTTTGCTTTGCTAAACAGGCTGTCTGTCGAAACAATGGCTTCTTCTCTTACCAAATACCCACCTGGTTTGGTACTACTAAATATGTAAAACCCCTTGCGCAGAAGTTGTGCACTCATGAGCAAATGTTGTGCAGCAAGACCTGCTATAATTCTATCAACATAGCTTTTTTGATAGATGGCTCTAGTAGTGTTGGAGACAGCAACTTCGCCCTTATGCTTGAATTCATCAGTAATGTTGCTAAAGCCTTTGAGATCTCCGACATTGGCTCCAGAATTGCAGCTGTGCAGTTTACCTACGATCAACGTAGCGAATTCATTTTCAGTGACTACACCACAAAAGAAAAGGTTCTCACTGCAATCCGGAACATACGTTACATGAGTGGTGGTACTGCTACTGGGGAGGCCATTTCTTTCACAAACAAAAATGTATTTGAACCAGTGAAGAATGGACCCAACAAAAATTTCCTTGTTATTTTGACTGATGGTCAGTCTTATGATGATGTAAGAGGGCCTGCAGCCGCTGCACACAAAGCAGGTAAATGATACACCTATGGAAATAAAGCTACCTCTCTAGCATCTTTTCTTGCAGAGATTTCACCCTAATTTGTGACTATTAATGCTCATTTTACCACAGAAAGTTACTTGGGTATTGTTGCACCTTTTGTTCAAACAATTAGTCCAGATTTTTGGAGCCCTGAAAGGTTGTTTGTATGAGGATGAGAAACCAGAGATACGAGTCACATATAATCTGGGTATAATTGTATTAATTCACAAAAATGTGCGTGTGAGCTCTCATGTCCATAAACGTGGGAATAGCAAACAGTAGCAGGCTATTTCCTTGCTTGAAAATCTCCAGCTTTGTAACTCTTGAAAGTGCTGGTCTCAAGAAGTTCTGTCTTGATGCTTCATCTCAGGGCTGTTTACTACAGGAAGGAATTCAATTGTTCCTTCTCTTGGGCCTAAAAACGCATGTGGCATATCCCACTGGTTTTAACAGGGTCTGTGATTTTTGTTTTAGATTCAAGACTCACTCAACGGCAATTATTAGCACCTTTCAGCATAATATTTAAACTGTATATTCCAAATTAGAAAGATGAATTTGACCAGTAGAAGTCACAGAATTTAAGACTAGAGCTGATGTTTCCTGGTTCCTAGCTCAACACATACTGAATACTAGATAATCCTGCCCATTTAAAATATATATATATATGACTCTTCTAAAGAGAATTACCTGATTCAGTCAAAATTGTATGAACCAACTATCCTATTTGCAAACTGGAAAGATTTCAAACTCATGTCATCGGAACTTCATCTGATAAAAACATTTTATGTTTTCCTATTAGTTGCTCTTTAGATCTTTCCTTCTTTCATTACTGACAATTGAAACATTTTGTAATTTAACTTATATAAGCTAATCAATTTATTTCAAATAAAAAAATCTAAAAGATCATGATAAACTCCAGTTAGAAGATTATCTGTTCTTAAATTTGAGCTGATCATCATTATCATCATCATTCATTAAGGAGAACAATTAGTGCTTTTGGCCAAAAATGTTCTTGAGCTGCTGTCACTTGAACACAGTAGTGATTCAATGTTATTTTCCATAAAATCTTTTGACAAGCCAATTAATCCAACAGGTTGGATTCCTATTCCTGATGTGCAATCACACTACTTAATTGTGTCACTACTGTCTTCATGTACAGCATTGTATAAAAATACCCTTATAGGTTACCCCATGGTTTCACCAGGCTTCTTACTGAAAGCAGGCATTCAGGGCCTGATGCTGCTACTTCTGCTACTCTGGTGCTCAATGATGAAAGTCACATCTATGAAAGTTATTTTCTTTTTAGTTACAAGTATCTCAGGTTTACAAATTGTCTCTTACTCTGTTCTAGGTATTACAGTTTTCTCCATTGGTATTGCTTGGGCACCACTGGATGATCTGAAAGCCATGGCCTCTGAACCAAGAGATACTCATACTTTCTTCACAAGAGAGTTTACAGGATTGGAGCAGATTGTTACTGATGTTACTAGAGGCATTTGTAGAGATTTCTTGGACTCTAATCAGTAAAGGAGAACCTGTTGGATATTACTACTTCAAAACTAAATCAGGAAAGCTGAGAATCTCTCTCTCAAGTGCAACTTTTCCATTCTTTTAATATGCAATCATAATGTGTTTGAATAAGTTGCAAAGGCTGCCTTCTGCTTTCTGTATTCAAACAAGGCTTCCATTTAACAAGTTGTGTTTAATTAAGGATTGCAGAATTTGGCCAAAGGTTACCATTTTAAATATATATTTAACATCCCAGAATTTAAATTTAAAGTTATGCATATGTTACACTTACAAGATATCAGCTGTATAAAGAAATAGAAAATAACTTAGTTCTCACATTAATGTACTGTCATTTACCAGATGTCACCTCATAAATGAAAATTACTTTAAACATATAACACAACAACTTTTATAGGATCTATACAAATTAAGATACTACATTTATTCCAGGAGGCTCTGTTAGTATTGTATTGAAAGGGCTAGCCTGGGAATGTGTTGTTTTCACAGAAATATTTTCATTAACAGGTGTACAACAGCAAATATTACCTTGAAACTTAGCATTTGAGTCAGTTCTGATTGATCCAAACAAACCTGGGAGTGGCAGACTTTACATACATAGGTTGTCTCTGGAATGAATGACAATTAATTCAAATTAGCTTCCATTTTCCTGGGAAAAATATTATGTCAAGATACTTCACAGGTACTTAAAATGGGACAATGGATTTGCACTTCCATGGAATCCCAGAATAAAAGAGTTTATCCACGGAGAAATTTGACCTCCGTTTTACCCATCATGTAGTTTCTAACGTGATATGTGTCAGATCTTTGAGGCCTTATCACCTTGGCAAAATGTCTTCCAACTGCTATTGAATTCAATTCTTAAATTTCTAGTAAATTCAAAAGGTCTGATTTTTCTTCTCTACCTTGCTTGTTGGACAGTCATTTAAATATGGGTTGAAAATGCTAGAATGTTTAGTAGTGTTTATGCTGACTTTTTTAGAGGTGTCAATGAGGTAAAGTTCAAGGCACAGAACTAGGGCCAAAGCAATTACATTCACCCTTCAAATGGGAGCTGAGGACATTAAGACTGAAAATCAAAAGTAGCTCAGATGACCAGCTTTAATTTGCCTACAGCAGTTTACCAAAGCCAATAGAGAGGACTGTAAGTAGGAAGAGAGAGAGAGAGAGAGAGGGAGAGATAGGGCATGATGACCAGCAAATGATTACTTTTGCAGCAGCTGTTTGATACCAGTTATAACATCTTTAAGCCCTTACTAGTGTGGGTTGTTAAACATGAAAATAGTTCTTGAACATCTCTTCCATTTGCTTACACCTATAAATGTACACATGTCTTTGAGATTAAAATTAGCAATTCACTGCAAGAGGTGTTCAGACATCTGAAACTAACAGTACATTTTGATTGAAGTATTTTCGGATAACCCAGTGTATTTCAGGTAAGATTCTGTTAACAAAACAGCACTTTCCTGTTTAAATATCAGTCTGGGGTTTCTTTCATTTCTTTCAGTTTGTGCTATTGGTTGTAAAATTCTAACTAGATATGAATGGTACAGAAGGGATGATATTTATCAGGCTTTTTGTAGTGTATTTTTTTTAATAACTTATGACTGGCAATATATTACACTAAACATGAATGGCAAGGATGCCTTGTATTTTTCTATGATTGTTATCCTTAATTTTATGTGTGTTTTTAGATGTGGTTTTCAGCTATTGCTGTAAGAATCAGCCACGTATTCAGAGACAATATCAACATTGTGCAGACTATAAAAGTTTTGCCCACTTAGCTTTAACTTTTTTATATGAAAATACACATATTGCAAGTACATTTTTAGACTGGGACAGCAGATACGTATTACTATTCTGTAATGCAAAATCATTCTGTGATGAGATAAACCTCCTGTAATACAGATCAGATATGCCAATAAAGCAAACAACATAAAGAATGCAAGTATCAGCATTGTTTTTCATTACTGAATTGCAAAGAAAAAAGTTAAAGCATCCTAACAACTCCTGCTGGTTCTGTGATTTTTATTTTTACCCTAAAATGCCTGTTATATCAATACTCCATATTAAATATGATAGTAATTTAATTATCTGAATATAGATATATCAACCAGCTAGTGAATTCATAGTTATTTTCCTCTGAATTGGTCTTGGAGGTGGTGCTGAGGACACCTAGACTTCTAGTTTTTGAGGACTTCAACATGTTTTGCTTTGTTTGTTTTTTAGTTTTTTGTTTTTTTATTATTGAGAGAAAAACTTCAGTGATTTGAAGATGAATCCCTCAGAACAAAAAATAGGACAGTTTGGATTCTTGAAACAAGGAAATATTTTGGAATAAATATTGTAATCTTGTCATATAGGGCCATAGTCATGTTGTCTGTGCTTCTGCTCCGTGTTGTTCTAGTTTTAGATAAGACGACACAGGCAAGAATCCTTGTGCTCTTTCTATACCAATGGTTCCACCAGCTGCACATTTGCTTCAGCAGAAATATTCAGGGCAGTGCACAAAAGCTATGTGAATAACCTATTCCATTATCTCAACAAAATCAAAATGTAGAGAGTGCAGGCAACTTTGGGGATGAACTTGCAGTGGTACCAGAACAACAGTGGGAGAATTAATAAGCACTGCCAGTGTAGATGCAGCCAATGAGGACAAATTGCAGCCTTAGTACAGTCCAACCATTTTCAGCTCAGTGGGGACAAAAAATCTTTAAATATGTGTATAAGGCAAAAGTTGTAAGCACCACTTTTGGATGTTATAGGTACAGAATATGGACAGAATTCCTGGGTGGCTGCGTATTTACAGCATGTTGCCCTGTCTTTCTCCTCCTCTATCCTCATTGGGATTGTAGCCAAGGGAACCCTGATCTGTTGCTGATGCTGGTAAATGCTAGGTCAGTGGTTAATACAGGGGCAGGCAATTATTTGGGTGGAAGGTCGCTTAATGAGTTTTCGCGAGCTGTCAAGGGCCACATGGGTAGCTCCGCCTTTTCAGTCGCCCCACCCCCTGGTTCCTACCCCCTAACCCCTGACCTTTGCCACCAGAAGTCCCTCCCCTTGCCCCTGGAAGTATTTCTTTTGGAGAGGTGGCCTTGGAACCTGACCCCTCCCACAAGCAAGGACCCAGCCCACCCCGTCAGGCCCCAGGCATCAAAAGCTGGCCAACCCCCCCACACCTCACTGGTGCCAGCATGTCCTGGTCCTGACCCATCCCATCTGAGCCTGCCCCCCCACCCGGTGGCACAGCAGAAGCCAGCCCGGGCCCAGGTCCCATCACCAGCACAGCACCCTCCAGTGCTTTAGGACCCCTCCTGTCCCAAGTCGCAGGGGTCTCAGCCACAGCTTTCCCTCCCCAGTGCAGCCTGGCCAGCCCATCCCCTATCAAGTGGTAGCTTCCTCACATGCTGCTGCACTTTCCTCCTACCTGTGACAGCTGGGCCCAAAAGGGCAGGAGGCTCCACCACTGCTTCTGCTGGCCAGTCCGACCCAGCTGGGTCCTGTCCCCAGCAGCACATGGGAAGCCGGCTTCAGCTGCATGCTGCTCTGGATGTGGTCTAAACTCTTGTCTGGCCAACCAAGTACACAAGTTGTCCAGAACCTGGCCTAGAAATGCACCGTATGGTGAAGCAAAACACATATGATGCCAATAGAGCCTGTTTCAACCTCAGCAAGACACAACTCTGTCTTGGAAAAATGTTATAATGTAATTATTTCCATCCTGGTCATCAACAGGGATTAACCCCCAAACTCATAGAACTGAAGAAGTGAAAAGGTTTGAATTGAAGCCCCTAAGGGCCAGATTCTCTAAGCATGCTGCTTCGGATGGGATGGACCCAGCTGGGTCAGCACCGGCCAGGAAAAGTGGCATGCAGCTGAAGCCGGTTTCCCATGTGCTGCTGGGAACGGGAGGAGCCTGGCTGGGTCAGCACCAGCCAGCAGAAGCAGCGTCGGAGCCATGTGCCACTCGGGACTGACCCATGCAGGCAGGGGGAAAATGCAGCTGAGCCCCTGCCGCTCCGGCTGGGCTTGTCCCGTCCCGTCCCAAGCAGCACACGGCTCCGCCACTGTTTCTGCTGGCCGGTGCAGACCCGGCTGGGCTCATCCCATCCCCAGCAGCAAGTGGGAAGTCGGCTTCAGCTGCATGCTGCTCTGGATGGGATGGACCCAGCTGGGAGAGCACTGGCCAGGAAAAGCAGCTCTCCCTTTGGCTTCTCTGTTCCCCCTGCCAGAAGACCAGGCACCTGCCTTTCCAGCATGCTTCATGTTTGGTGTGCTGTAAAATGTGCATCTCTGTGTGTATGTGTAGTGCTTTCCTACATAGTGATGAGACACTGCGAGGCAAAGCACAGTTTTCTTTTTGTTTGGGGTGAAAAAAATAACAAGAATAAATAACAGGATTTGGTGGGGGGGAAGAAATATTTGAAAGGGATTAATAATAGGGATGGTAGGCAAGGGTAAGTGGGAAAATGGCTAATGGCTGGCTACAACTTGGTAGCAACAGCCTACTTACTGCTACCAGCCTAGACCCTTCAGATGCTGTGCTCTGCTGCTAGAGACAGATCTCACAAGAGGCAGAGAGCTGTTCACAAACAGCCTTTTATGTTCTTTCTCTGTCCCTCCCCCAGAGCACTGGGACTGGAAGGGACCTAAGGGACAGATCACAGACACTGGCCAGCTACAGATGTCAATATCAAAGCAGCCCTTCCCCCCACACTTTTCTGAGTTTGTTTCCCCGCAAGCCCACCTCCGAAACACTAAGAAACATCTGAAGCATTTTGGATGGTTCTGTTTCATTTTGGAGATGTTTCAGAGCCTTCCATTCTGATTCAGATTTGGTGTTTCGGGTGCCAAAACGGGCTGAAACATTTCTGAAACAAAACAACTGCTGAAGTTTTGCACAGCCCTAATACACATGTATTTTTAAAAAAACCAAATTCCTACCCCACAAAGTTCCAATGCAGCACTGTCTGATTATGAAAAAAAAATCAATTTCAAACTTGTTTCAGTGTCTGCAGCCCCACACAGTATGTGGACATGGGCAGTTGCCCTATATACCCAACCAAAAGCTGACTCTGCCTACTGGCCATATCATGCCACACCTGGTCAGAGAGAAAAACTGTAAAATGTTGCAGTAATTTCCTTCTTGGTTTGGCACATCAGAGGAACAGAATTACAATTACAAGCAATTTCCCATTTTTGGGGGTTTGCTCAGAAAAATGCATGCTTTTTTCTCTATGTCTTCCATGGGAAGAGGCAATATCCATATTTATCCTGTGAAGACTTCCTTGTTTTTGATGAGCAAGATTACATACCCAAGGTAACTCTCATAACCAAAGGCACTGAGATAGTCTAAGTGTATTAAAAAACATTATTACTCTGATTGTTTTTTCCCAGCAAGACTTCTTTTTGATCTGCTTAGGTGCCAGCTCTGAGATCACCATGGTTTAAAACAAATGTTTTTCAAGCGTTTCCTTAGTGCCTGTTTGTTAGTTTAGGGAATCACCTCTGTTTCAAATGACACCCTTCCAAGCGTGGTACAAATAGTTGCCTCGGATATATTTTCTCTTACACATGGTATTTCTATCAGCAGCTTTCCCAAGTGGTCCTGCTCACTGCCCTGTCATTCATTACAGGTGGGGCAACAGGGAAGTGAAGTGATTTGCCCAAGTTTACATTACTGGTCAGCTGGGAATAGAGCTCTGTTTTCTCAAGTCCCAGCCCACTGCTCTGTCTACTAGGTCAAGCTGCCTCTCTGATAAGCTTCATACTCTTAGCTGGGTTTAAAATCATAATGCCGTGCACTTAGGTTCTTCAGTTATTTAATGTAGTAAAATGATACCTTCTCCTCCCTCAGTAAAGTTACAGCTCCTCCTACTTGGTTAACTAGCATTTCAGATCTAAAAGACATATTATTGAATTGAGTTCTGACAG